ATGGTACTCTATGTTATACATAATTCTGGTTATTTTTCAAATTAAGCATACCAGGATTTTTGAGAATATAAAGCCCCTAACATCTTGACTAAGATCTTCAGTCCTTGGATCTTCAAGAGTGATACCTGAAACTCATAGCAGAAACACTTAAAGGATAGAAAATTCACAGAAAATAGAAAGACGATAAGAAATAAATACCAAATATAGATAGGCTTTTATTTTCACAATTCGGGTGGCGAAATGAACAACACAGTATTTAACACTAACCTTTCTTTATAGCACTATCATCCATTGCCTTGTACTCCATGTTCTTTAAAGCAAGCTCCACACCATAGCCAGCTAAGCTAACATTATCCCTTGCCCCAATGGCACCGCAGGGTCTGGTTTTGCCTTCACAACCCAAAGGTAATACTGGTCTAACAACATAAGTAACTTTTCCCTGTCGGAAAACCAAGGCTTTATTAGCATGCACACAACAAAAGCAGAAAGACACTAAAAAATGGAATCCCTGGACAGTAGTGCCTGATGTTGTTTTATCAAGACAGTAATAAAAAATACAAATCAAAAACAACTGAACCCATACGACAGAACTTCTCGAACTCATGCCACAAGCTCAAGGTAAAGCCTATACTACCCAAATAATAAAAATACGTTTTTCCAACAATCAAGGAGAAGGAGAGACCTCTCTGGCTGCTTTAGCAAGCGAGAGGTGAAATTTCCTAAAGCAATCAGTCCCAACTGCCCCATAGAGAACGGCAACTGGGCTTCCAGCTCTCGAATCAAAATGAACGTGATCAAAGTCGAAGAGCTCAGGCCCCTGAACTGCGTCTCCAGCACTAGCACCCAACAAAATGCAGCTTAGAAAGAACAAGTTGTGATCTTAACCAAAACGAAAAAGAAGAAGAAGAGAGAGTGTCAGCGCATACGCAGGAGAAGAGGCGAGCCATGATTGGAGATCTGCAACATCATAAAAGAGGGAGGAGCCAGTATCGACCCAACAGCAATCAGTCGCAGAGGGATCATCGCCGTGAGGGAAAGAAGAGAGAGACTCATCAGCCAACTGGCGGTAAAGCACAAGCCTGGGCGAGGCAGATCTCAAAGTAAGTGAGAAATGGAAGAGAGAAGCCACTGGTTGAGCTAATAAAGTCGAAGCTTGTTTAGATATCTTAAGAAGACAATCTCTAGCTGATTTGCAATCGGAATCACCAGTATCATCTCCATCGGAACCAAGCCACGCATCAGTGAACTCCCAAAACAACTGCTTCGATTCTTTGGAAATCAACTCTCTATATACCAACAACAACAGCAAAAACACTCAGACTTCACTGTCGATTACGCAAGAGCAGTAACAAAATTAAGAAATGTTAACAATGCATTACCCAGCCTCGAGAAGAAGAGGAGTACCCTGCCACTTCGCCTTGACAGCCACCTGAACATTCTTAGGTCTCCGATTCTGAGCGTTGACGCCGACGACGACGAAGAAGAGAAGAATGAGATAGAGCCAAGATCTCAGATTGGTCCCCATCTTTTCCGCGACGGAGAAGAGAAGAAACCAGAAACGAGCCGGGAAATATTCTTACTTACTCAAAAAAGGATACTCTCGTAAATAACCAACAACAGCCACGACATCGAGTCTGACGTGGTGATCACTGACTGGTTAACAAAGTTTAGGGTTTTTCGAGTTTTTGGGGGCTTCGGTGTTGGTCACCGTCGAGATCATGCGAAGGGATGCTCCTCAGGCGGAGGATACTATCGCTCTCTGCGTCGTCGTTCAGAAACTGCAATTCCGGTAATAAAGGCGACGCTGTCTCTTCACCGTTTCCGTTCACCAACTTCTCTAAAGCTTCTTCTTCAATCGCTCCCGGAGATTTCGTCGTCCGCGAATGGAAAGACTGGTTTAAGCACCGAGATGTGAAGCAGAGCCACCAGTTAATCGATCGAGTTTTTGATATCCTTCGAGCTCCTTGTGCCGATGGAGATGATCGAGGTTTTTATCTCCAACTCTCCAATCTCCGACTCCGTCTCACTGAGAAATTCGTCCTCGACGTGCTTTCACACACTCGTAACGATATCCTCTCTTGTCTCAAATTCTTCGATTGGGCAGCTCGTCAGCCTGGATTTCATCACACGCGTGCTACTTTTCATGCCATCTTCAAGATCCTTCGTGGTGCTAAGCTTGTGACTCTTATGATTGACTTCTTGGATCGAAGTGTTGGTTTTGACGGTTATCGCCGTTCACTCCGTCTCTGTGATGCTCTCGTTGTGGGATATGCTGTAGCTGGTCGTACTGATATTGCTCTTCATCACTTTGGTAACATGAGATTTCGAGGTTTGGATTTGGATTCTTTTGGGTATCATGTGCTTCTCAATGCACTTGTTGAGGAGAAGTGTTTTGATACGGTTGATGTCATCTTCGACGAGATCTCCGTGCGTGGCTTTGTATGTGCTGTCACACATTCCATTTTGGTGAAGAAGTTGTGCAAGCAAGGGAAACTTGATGATGCTGAAGCTTATATCCGCACTCTGCTCCCCAGTGATCCTGCTGGATGCGGTTCTGGTTTAGGCATTTTGGTCGATGCTCTATGTTCCAAACGAAAATTTCAGGAAGCTACTAAGCTGTTAGACGATATTAAAGTGGTGGGAACAGTGAATTTGGACCGTGCTTATGACATTTGGATTAGGGCTCTTATTAAAGCTGGATTCTTGAATAACACTGCGGATTTCTTGCAGAAAATTAGTCCGTTAGAAGGTTGTGAACTCGAAGTTTTCAGGTATAACTCTTTGGTCTTTCAACTTTTGAAAGAGAACGATCTTAATGGTGTGTATGATATCCTGACGGAGATGATGGTACGTGGAGTTTCACCTAATAAGAAAACAATGAATGCAGCTTTATGCTTCTTTTGCAAAGCCGGATTTGTAGATGAAGCCCTCGACTTATATCGGTCGAGGTCAGAAATTGGATTTGCTCCTACTGCCACATCTTACAACTATCTGATTCATTCCCTTTGCGCCAATGAAAGTGTTGAACAAGCGTATGATGTCTTGAAAGGGGCGATGGACCGAGGGCATTTTCTTGGTGCAAAGACTTTTAGTACACTTACCAATGCCTTGTGCTGGAAGGGGAAGCCTGACATGGCAAAGGAGCTGATTATTGCTGCCACAGAGCAAGACTTATTGCCTAAGCGTATAGCTGGTTGTAATATTATATCAGCTCTTTGCGATGCTGGGAAAGTGGAGGATGCTCTAATGATCAATGAGCTATTCAATAAAGGTGGTGTAGACACCTCCTTCAAAATGTTCATCAGCTTGATATACGGCTCAATCACACTAATGAGGGGAGACATAGCTGCTAAACTTATCATCAGGATGCAGGAAAAGGGCTACACCCCGACCCGTAGTCTCTTTCGAAATGTTATTCGATGTGTTTGTGAGATGGAAAGTGGTGAAAAAAACTTCTTCACTACGTTGCTAAAGTTTCAGTTGTCTCTTTGGGAACATAAAGTTCAGGCCTACAACTTATTCATCGAAGGAGCTGGGTTTGCAGGAAAACCAAAACTTGCAAGACTAGTGTATGATATGATGGATAGAGATGGGATCATACCCACACTAGATTCAAACATTCTCATGCTTCAGAGTTATCTCAAAAATGAGAAAATGGCCGATGCTCTTCACTTTTTCCATGACCTGCGTGAAAAGGGTGAAGTAACAAAAAGACTATATAATGTTATGGTAGTTGGCCTCTCTAAAGCAAATAGATTGGATGATGCTATGCATTTCTTGGAAGAAATGAAGGGTGAAGGACTACGGCCTAGTATCGAATGTTATGAAGTAAACATACAAAATTTGTGCAACGAAGAAAAGTATGAGGAGGCAGTTGGATTAGTCAACGAATTCAGGAAAAGCGGGCGCCGCATCACAGCTTTCATCGGTAATGTCCTTTTGCATAACGCAATGAAGAGCAAAGGGGTGTATGAAGCATGGACACGAATGAGAGATGTAGAAGAAAAAATCCCTGAGATGAAGTCCCTTGGTGAGTTGATAGGATTATTTTCGGGACGAATCGATATGGAAGTAGAACTGAAGCGGTTAGATGAAGTAATAGAGAAATGCTATCGTCTTGATATGTACACGTACAATATGCTGTTGAGAATGATAGTAATGAACCAGGCAGAAGATGCATATGAGATGGTTGAAAGATTATGTCGGAGAGGGTATGAGCCTAATGAGTGGACTGACAGGATCCTTGGACGTGCTGACCGCATACTAGAGGGACGGAATTTGCGGTCAAGCTTAGGGGGGAACGGTTGGAGTAGCAGACAGATGCAACGTGAATGATGAAAAGTACGTCACTAAGAGGTCAGAATTGTTGAATAGAGAATAAGGGAAGAATCTCTCAATTGATTTGGATTCAATATCTGTTTTGGGATTTGGATCATCGACAACAGTCAACAGGTGAATGAGAAAGCTATAACTTGCAGAAGCTTTCTTGTCTCTGTTTTTTGCAAATGTGTCATGAAAGGCAGTTACAGAATTGGTTAGTATCAGCTTTAGATCTACATTATGTACACAATTGGTTGTAGTCTTTCCTAGTAGAGAAACACACAACTGAGAGAGAGATTTCAACAGTTTTGTCAAATTCTTCATTTGTTGCTAAAAGAAACTTTATGGTGCTCGCGGCTCGCCCACCTTGGTTTCCAATTATTTGTGTTTGTATTACATTTTTTTACTAATGAAAATATTTTTTCATTGAAAAAAGAAAAACAATACTTTTGTATTCATCTAATCATGTTTATAATTTTCATAGAAAAGCTCTCTTTTCTGGCGAAACATATTTTAGCAACAATGAAAAACAAAACAAACAGGATTAAAAACACCAAGTGTGTTACGAGGATACAATTATCTGTTTATAAAAAAGTACTTATAGAAGAGAGAGGAGAATAGTGATTACATATAATCACAAAATAGAAAAATACACATTAAAGAAATGCGTGTACTGTGTACTACAGTTTAGCGCCATTTGTACTGCATAATACAGAGAGTAAAGACCAAACCAGAGAGATTTACATTAGAAAGAAAAAAACATGTGAAATATTTTCTATGACAACCTCTGCATTATTACAAAGAAGCACAACAATGGAGAAGATGATTCAGGTACGAAGCTCACAAGTTATCTTCTTTTCAAACAAAAAAGAAACAAAGACAAAACAAAGCAAAGTTATATATCTTCTTATGATCTCTCTCTCTCTCTCGCTTGCTCTGAGTTTATCATTTCTTAATCTGTCTGTACTGCAGATACAATACGACCATTTCTCTTCTATTAACTTGTGGTGACCTGTGATGCCCTGAACTACCTCATTTCATTTTTCTAATCTTGAATCATTTTATTATTATATAAAATAAAAGGTTTGTGTAGCTTCATTGCATTGTTATTTATCACTGCCTCTGGCGTTGACTTTGGGCTCCTTACCCTACATATATATATACACACCTACATACATACATATCATTGTCATGATCATCTTGTTCACTTAATTAGGGTTTACAGATTCATTTGTGAGTTCTGAGTTTAAGGAGGACCATCGGTGTAAGCAAAGAGCGAAGCTATCTATAGTATTGTTGTGGTATATAATATGTCTTCTCATCCGAATCATCAGACTTCAATATCCAGTTTACTACATGATCGCTTGCATATCCCTGCAGAAACAATCATTGAGAAGGATTCCGCAGAGAAGGACACTTGTCAATCGCAAAGGAAAAGGAAGGAACCAGTTTTGCATGAGGTTGATGGCTCAAGTGGTGCAGCAAAGAAACAAGACCATAACGCCAAGGAACGTCTTAGGAGGATGAGACTTCATGCCTCTTACCTCACTCTCGGCACTCTTCTTCCTGATCATTCTTCTTCTTCTTCCAAGGTTACTTTCTTGGTATTATATTTACAACTTAGGTATCTTTCTCTTGTGAAAGTTGTTGAGCTATAACTTTTCTTTGTGATTTGACAGAAGAAATGGTCTGCACCGTCTATAATCGATAATGTAATCTCTTACATTCCTAAGCTGCAAAATGAAGTTGGAGAGCTGACTCTAAGAAAGCAGAAGCTTGTGGAGTTAGAGAGACGTGGTCCTTCGATTCGAGCAATCTCGGTTCTTGAGTTGGGGGAATCGGGTTATGAGGCTGTTGTACAGATATGCTTGAAGAAGGAAAACGAAGACGAGTTCTCGAACCTCCTTCATGTAATGGAGGTGCAAGGTTTGAGTATTTTAAGTGCTTCTACTTCTCAAGTTTGCCGGGAGCAAAGGGTGGTTTGCTACAACTTTCATGTCAAGGTGTGTCTCCTCTTTGTCTTCGATCGACACTAATTTCTCTTTGATATTATGTTTTTATAGAATCATAGAAACTGTGCTAGTTAGCAGAGTCATAAATCTTGGGTATATATAATATAGGTTTCGACATGAATATGAACATTGATGTAACTTTCTTTCTCCAAACAATACATGGCTAGGGTCCATCTTGGGAGGATTATGTTAAGATTTCATAAAGTTGGAAAAAGGAATTAATGTGTATATAGGACTAATTATGTATTATCAACGGCCGATCTTCTAGATATAGGGAGCAAAGACCACTAAGCTTAATTCATAAACAGTTTTTACACTAGCGAGTCATTTAATTTTAAGCAATTAGATAGTATGTATTTGCATGCATCTTCTTGTAATGAGAGAACTAATAATTACAAAATGTATATATGGGAGAGTGTAGATGGAAGAGAAGCCATGTGAAGGTGATGACTACATCACATTGTTAAAGAACAACATCATATCTTCGCTTCGTGGCAACACAAAATGCAAATGATATATATACATAATGAGGTAATAGAATCAATGGGAATATCTTTGATGATGCCATATCACAATAGTCATTCCTCTTCTTGCTTAGATCATGTGTTTGTTTTGGTGTTTGAAATCAAAACTAACTTTTATCATACTCTCAGTTCTATATAGATTTAGAAGTTATTTTTTTATCTCCCTATGCTAGAAAAAGAACCGTTTAGTATGCCTCAAGATCAGAGTTCGAATCTCAGGTTTAATTAAGAAGTGTGACTAATTTTTACTTGTTCTGGTCTCGGACGTCCAAGAAAATTATGGACCAAATGTCGTCGTAACTTGTTGTTTCATGCATGTTCTGTAATGGTTATGTTTTGGTTGAGCAACGTTGGTTTTAGGCGGCTTCAAGGTTCAAGCAAAGCTGAACTCGAGTACAGTCCAACAGAGAGAGAGTGTTCTCTACGATACAAAAACTACCTTATAGTTTTCTTTTTAGTCAGATTTAAGCATTGTTCTCATAACGGAAAAAAATCTGAGATCCTTACATCAACACACAATTCTCATAACTAAATCGTGTACGGTGTATGTAAAATATGTTCGGACAATATGAACATTATTAACTTGTAGTCTTGTACAATGTGTTTATGCAAACCCACGAAACATACGAAATTTACAATTTGACCCTTCTTGTTGTAATTTGAAAGCAAATCCAAATTTTTCCACAACGCTTTTTTAATGACATCGACCCCCAAAAAAAAAAAAAAAAAAAAAAAAATCCCGATCCTCTTAAAAAAGTTGAAGAGTCAAACCTCTCGAGTTCTCTCTCTCTCAGAAGTAGAAGAAGAAGACGATGAAGAAGGGAACGGTGTACTCATGGGGATCGGCGATTATAATCTTCATAGTTCTCATGATCGTCACTCCCACGATTCCTCAATCTCAGGCTTACCACGATTTCGCCGATCAACGCTCCTTCTTGTGTATATTTCTCATACTTCTTAAATCCTCTTTTTGAATTTTAGGTTTTTTTTTTTCAAATCTCATGATCCACAATTTCATTCTCAGGGATCCCAAATACTCTCAACGTCATTTCGAACTTCCCTTTCCTTATCATCGGCCTAATTGGTCTCGTCCTCTGCTTTTTCCCTGGAAATTACTTCAGATTTAGGCGCGTAACTATCTATACCCTAAGTCTCCATTTCTAATTTAGCTTCGTCTTCTTCAATTCAGATTCACAAATTAGTTCAAAAACCTGTGTGTATTTTGAAAACAGTTTGCGTGGTGAAAGAATAGGATGGACTTGCTTTTACGCTGGTGTTGCTGCTGTTGCTTTTGGATCTTCTTACTATCATCTTCACCCTAACGATGATACTCTCCTCTGGGATCGTCTTCCTGTACACGCTCTTCTCTTTCTCTTTCTCTTCTCTGTGACTTGCTTTTGTCTTGTTTTTGATCACTGGCTTTTTTTTTTTTTTTTTATTTAGATGACTATTGCTTTCACATCAATCATGGCTATCTTTGTAATCGAGAGGATTGATGAGCATAAGGGTACTTACTCCATTTTCCCTTTGCTTCTTGCTGGCCTTGTTAGCATTTTCTATTGGAGGCAAGTCAAATCTTTAATCTTTCAAATGCTTTTTAAATGATACGATCTTGAGTGAGATAGAGTATTAAGCTGACATGAGGCTGTAATTGCAGGTTTTTCGATGACCTTAGACCATATGCTGTAGTACAGTTTGTTCCTTGCATTGCCATTCCGTTGATGGCTATTCTCTTGCCTCCAATGTATACTCATTCTACGTATTGGCTCTGGGCTGCAGGTTAGTGCTCACTGTTGTGTTGATATATCTCTTCAGTTTTTCTTTTGTACTTGAAGCTACCCCTGGTTCTTATTCTAAGATTCAATTGGCTGAAATTGCAGGATTCTATCTCTTAGCCAAGGTTGAAGAAGCTGCGGATAAGCCTATCTATAGCTGGACTCATCATATTATTAGTGGGCATTCTCTGAAGCATTTGTCCGCTGCTATGGTCCCTGTCTTCCTTACCCTCATGCTTGCAAAAAGAACCGTTCAAACCGAGAGGTACATTCTCTTATATATGATGAAATGACCGGAAATTGCAGAACCATATTCTTGACTCATGCTTTACCCCAATTTGCTAAATACAGGACTAGCTTGTATAAAACATGGAAGATATCATGGGCAAGGAGTAAAGGGAAAGGATCCGAGGAAGAGAGGTTTGATCATAGCTACTCCAACGTTGCAGCCGAAGAGACTCGATAGAGGTTATGCTGGTGACTCTTGTATAATGTAAGATCTTTCTACTTTTGATAGTTGTGTTTAAGATTACTGGCTAATAGAATTAGTTTATAGGAAGTACAGGTTGATAATCCGTCCAATTGGAAATTGATGTTACACCCTTTCGTTTATACTCATGAGCTGTAATCGATCATTCACAGTGCCCTTTTGTTTCCAATCGATCATTTCTGTCTCCTTTTACGTTATTTCTCATAATTATAGTTCTTGAGATTGGTGAGACCCTATGTTTTTATTATCAACTTAAACCAAATCAAAGACGAGTCTACCTTATCAACCATGGAACCATTGTAACACTTATGTGGTAACAAGAAGGTGTTATCAAGACATGCCGTTAAGTCTTCTACTAACAGAGACGACGCCTTGAATCCCTGACTTTCCATCTCCATTTGCAACCATTCCAGAGAAGAACTGCTTGCTCAAAGCAGCACCAGGCAACGCAGCTTCCGCCTCTGCCGCCATTCCCAAATCTTTCACTATGTACTCCGCAAACCCCGTCGCCTTATAATCCCTTTTTATCATCATCTCCCCGAAAAGCCTCATAACCGCTGAGCCAGCTGCACCGTCCTTCACCGCCTGAAGCCATTTCACCGGATCTAAACCCGCCTTCTCAGCAAACACAATCCCTTCAGCAAGTCCCACCAGGTTGCCTCCTGCACAAATCTGATTCCCAATCTTACAGCTCTGTCCACTCCCTGCTCCTCCCATATACCTCACAATTCCCATATTCTCCATCACCGGATATAACCACTCCACAATCTTTGAATCTCCGCCGGCGAACATTGTAAGCTTCCCCTCTCGTGCTCCAGCATCTCCACCTGATACAGGCGCATCCACCGCCCAGCAATCCTTCCGCCTCGCCTCCTCGTGTATTTCACGCGCCAATGCTGGCTTGCTACTAGTCATGTCCACAGTTACTCCCCCTGGTTTGAGACCAGAGAGTACACCATCTTCACCGAGAAGCAACGATCGAACATCGTTGGCGTTTCCAACCATTGTAAACACAACATCGCTCACCTCAGCTAACTCTTTGGGACTATTGGCGGTGCGAGCTCCTTTAATTTGCAGATCCTTTGATTTCCGGTGATCACGAGCATAGACGGTGACGACATAACCTGCAGCGAGAATATGAGAAACCATGGCTGATCCCATTATTCCGATGCCAATCCACCCGATTCTCGTCTTAGAAGGATCCATGAGTTTCGGGTATGGAGTCTCCATTTCTGCGTTTTCCAGATAACGAAATGAAGAATTAGTGAGAGACGATGACGATCGGCAAAAACCAACAGTAAGCCCTAGTACCGACTTCACTCAATTTTTGTTTTTTTCTGAACTTTTTTTTTTATGTCTTCGGCTCCCAATTAACAAAGTCAAGGTTCTGACTTTTCTCTAGTATTATGCTTGAAAGATTAAAATATCTTTGCCACTATTTTTTTTAGAGTTGGTGAGAGAGAGAGAGACAGAGGTTGAGCTTAGAAACAGAGACCAAAGTCACTACTCAACAGACACGTAATGTTCATTTCCCATGAAATCGTGCAAAACTCATATAGGTCACGAGACCTGAATTTCATCCTTGGTTTTGGACACCTTTCACATGCTTACCCTGTGATGCAACAAACTTAGTTTTTTTTGTTTTGTTTTTCTTTTCACTTCCTTTATGGTAAACACTATAATCAACATTTGCCACAAAAACATTAAGTCTCTTTCCTGGCTCTCTTGTTTCTTTCTTTTTTTCCAGAATATGGAATCGAGCTTTCCGTTCATCAATCAAGCTCTCCTTATCCCTCAGACCTTTACGAGCTTTCACCATTTCCTGGCAGCATCTGCCTGCGTTCTCATAGCCGTCTTTGGTTACTACTTCTTTAAACCAAGATGTATTATATACCTCATTGACTTCTCATGTTATCAACCTCCTGACTTCTTGCGAGCTCCAGTCTCCAATTTCATTGAGCATCTTACGATATCCGGTGTTTTTGATCAAGAAAGTCTTGATCTCCAGCAGAAGATCTTAGAGCGATCAGGGATTAGTGATGATGCGAGCGTGCCTGCGGCAGTCCATGAGATTCCACCAAACGCATCTCTCTCTGCAGCTAGAGAAGAAACTCATGAGATCCTCTTCAGTATTGTTGAAGACCTTTTCTCAAAGCATAAGATTGATCCAAAGAGTATTGACATCCTTGTGTCTAACTGCAGCCTATTCTGTCCTTCTCCATCCATAACCTCTATGATCATAAACAAGTTTGGCATGAGGAGCAACATAAAGAGCTTCAGCCTGAGCGGTATGGGCTGCAGCGCCGGGATTCTTTCGGTTAATCTTGTTAAAGATCTTATGAAGATTCATGGTGACTCTTTGGCCCTAGTGTTGAGCATGGAAGCTGTGAGTCCCAATGGTTACAGAGGGAAGTGTAAGTCAATGCTCATAGCAAACACCATCTTCAGAATGGGTGGGGCTGCGATTCTTCTCTCCAACAGGAAGCAAGATATGCATAAGGCGAAATACGAACTCCAGCATCTTATTAGAACTCACGTCGGATCAGACAATGAATCCTACGAGAGTGTAATGCAGCACGTTGATGAAGAAGGAAAAGTGGGAGTAGCATTGTCCAAGCAGCTTGTGAAGGTAGCATCAAAGGCCTTAAAAATCAACGTGGTGGAGTTAGGCCCTCGGGTTCTACCTTATTCAGAGCAGCTCAAATACATAATCTCGTACATCCAAAGAAAATGGGGAATGCACAAGGAGATATACACACCAAACTTCAAGAAAGCTTTTGAACATTTCTGCATACATGCCGGAGGAAGGGCGATAATCGAGGGCGTGGAGAAGCATCTAAAGCTGGACAAGGAAGACGTAGAAGCTTCACGGTCAACTCTGTACCGGTATGGGAACACATCTTCATCTTCACTGTGGTATGAGCTGCAATACCTGGAAGCTAAAGGTAGAATGAAGAAGGGAGATAAAGTATGGCAGATCGGGTTTGGAAGTGGCTTTAAGGCTAACAGTGCTGTCTGGAAATGCATTTCCGAGATAGATTCAAGAGGTAGGAATGCGTGGTCTGATCGAATTCATTTGTATCCTGTCTGTGGAGATGCTTCAAGTGCATTGAAGACAGAGCTCCTTTCTTGACGTTGATTCGCTACTCCATAGAATAGTTTATACATTCCTTCAAATTCTCTCTGGTTTGCTCTTAAGCTGATTCATGCATTGTAGGAAAAACTTTCCACATTTTCAGATTCTTCAAGAGCTGTTTATTTTGGATCTCTCCAATCTAAAATGTTTTGTTATTCGATCTGAAATAGGATTTAGTATTTACCTTCACAAGATTTGGTATATGCAACTGTTTCACCTCCTATAACTACCAATTAAAAACTAAAACCACGTCCTGAACACTAAAAGTTAAGAAGTAAGAAATTAAATCCAAACATGTCTAGGTACTAAAGAGTAACATTCTGCATTTTGCCAACTACTTCAGCATCAACTCTTTTGTCCAGCTCGGTTTCCATATTTTCAATTGAACTCTGCAGCCTTCTGCAAGTTCCTAATAAAGCTCCAGATGAAGAATTCTTAAAACCCTTAACATCAGCCTCAATCTCACCAATATTTTCCCTTATTCTTCCCAATGTTTGTTTCATGAGACTCAACTCTTGTGGCGGGTAAACGCAGGCTCCAAGCTCGTCAATCTGTACTCCAAAATCTTGACACAACTTCAGTAAGTTCTCAAGCGTGGCCACAAACGCACCGTCATCCTTTGGATTCTCCAGCTTGATCATGCCTGTGATAGCACGGATAAGCTCTTTTATAACCACAAGTGCCTCGGATACGATATCAGCTACCATTTCAGAAACCTCAAATTCTGCAGGAGTCAAGTCATCGCCTAGATCATCTTCATCTGAGTTTGGAGTTTCGGTTTCGGGGTTTGCATAAGCATCATCAGGCTCGGGTGAAAAACAAGCTGGCTTCAGTTCTTTCATTTCCCTAAGAACATCTTTCATGGAAACAGTGACCTGCGTCATCGCCTTTCCAATAGCTTTGATGTTTGTTGCAGGCACCTTCTTCAAATTGGAGCATGCTTCCCACACTGCTCCTGCAAGCTGCGGAATCGACGGCTTCCTGCCTTTCTCATATTCTCCTTCTGTTTCCAAATAACAGAACCACCACAATATTCACCGGTGAGTAATCTAAATCAATAAGCAGAAGAACATAGAGCCTTCTTACCGTATAGAGAGACAGAACCCTGCAACAATCTAAAGCTGGTACCAACAATTTGTTTCACAGAGGCTTGTATGGATGAAAAAAGTGTAGTCCCAGCACCAGCCATGCTTCCATGACAATGCAGCAAAAATCCTTGAAGAGCATTGAAGTATGACTCCATAGCTTCTTTCAGTGCTTCAGCTTGTGGAGGTTCTCCAGTCCATAGCATTCCCACTATTGGAGTTAACCCAAACAACAAACAAACAATTGAAAAAAAAAAAATCAGTAAAGACAGCAACTGGTAGGATAAGAACCTATGGTGGCTTGTTTGGAGAGGTGATCAGAAATCTCAAGGACATCGTTCCAGCTTAATGTGTCTTGTGTAAGACACAGCTTCTGCTCGAACAACTGCAAAATTCACAAAATCCATAATCAGAGTCTCTCAGTCTCCATCACGAACACACAGAAACACGAAACCAAAAAAAAAAAAAAACCTGAAGAGTATCGTTGACGGTGTTGTGATAACCAACAAGGATTTGTTTCAATTCGTCTCTCTTTGGTTTCGCCATCTTCGTCTTCCTTCGCCTCTAGTCGTACTCGTAAGTCCTTAACTTTAAAGTTCTCGTTTCCTCTACGTTAGGGATTTTTGTACTCTTCAACAACACTTGTAACGGCGCCGTTTTATGTAATCCTTCTATAACTTTTAAACTATGATTTGTTAACCTTTGATGGGAAAACAAAACAAAAGAGAACATCAAGAAGGGCCAAATCTCATGTGCACCAATCAATTCTTTATTACTATAAGTGAAACTGAAAAGTGAAAACAACAACAACAGAGAGATCTTCTAACTAATGAAGTAAATCACAACATTAATGACATGATTAGTACTGTCTTGATTTAGCTGTTGTCTTCATGTTCTTCACTATCTTTCTCATTAAATTCCTCACCCATCACTCTTCCTCTAGCTTTTCTCGCCTGCCCATATCATTCGTATAATGTATCAATAGATATCACTTTCACTTTCTCATCAAATCTATCTACTAAACATTTTTTTTTTAATCTTAAAATCAACATTGTTAAGAACATCCCTTTCACTTTACTAACCTCTTGTTTCCAGTTGGTGAGGATGACAATAAGACCGAGCAAAACCGCTTGTACAAAAGACCCAACTGTGATCCCAATCCAGAGTCCTCTTCCTCCCATTTCAAACCTAAAAGCTAATATAATAGCAGTTGGTATACCACATAGATAGTAAGCAGCTAGGTTTACATAAGCCCCTATATCTTGCCTCCCTGATCCTCTAGCTACACCTGCAGTTTCAGTTCCCTTTGTTAACCATGTAGCTACTCTCTTAGTGATCTTAACATTATAGAAGGGGAATCTGACCCGAGAGAACCGCGTGAAGGGCATCGAATATGACTGATAAAGCAACCAGTGGAGCCATTGATCTTACGTAATCCACAACTTCTGTTTCAGAGCTGAATAGGTAACCAAATACGTTTCTTGCACCAAATACTATTGCACTCACCATTATTGATTCTACACATGTTATAACCATCACTGTGTAAACCGCCATTCGAGCTTGTTTCGGGTTTCCAGCCCCTAATTCGTTTGCTACTCTTGTACTGCCACAAAAATCAGAGAGAAGGGTTTTATGTTTTAGATAGATGGCTACCCTTCTGAAAATTCTAAGCAAGAGGGGGAATCGAGCAAGAACCTTGCTGCTGCGCCAAGACTCTCTGGTATTTGGTACAAGGAGGACTGAGTTGATAGACTGTTCAAGAAGGAATTAAAAAAGCAACTGAGTTTTATATGATAATAGCCTATTCCAAAAGGAAGTTCTTTAGAAGATAAAAAAAAACATACCAGACTGAGAGAACAGAGGTTTCTAGCTTCGGATTCGGTAAAATTCCAGAGAGCATGACTAGAAACTCGAATGACCACCACTCAAGGCTAATCCAACACCAAAGAAAGCAAAGAGTCTCAAGTCAGCCAACTGTCTCTGTGACCAAACCAACAAAAAGAGTTGGTAAGAGGAGTTTATATTACCAAATCATAGAGGCAGATGGGATTCCAAACCGGAAAAACTCTCCCATTCCTTTAAACACACTCATGGAGATGGGTGCACGGCTCTTGCTACAGCTGGAAGAAAACATCATGTATAATCCAAGCACGGTTACATTTAACCAATAAGAAGCACCGATCGCTATAGCTGCACCCAGGCTCCCTAGCCCAAACTTAAAGACTAAGCTCCAGCAGAGAACAATGTGGACACAGAGAGCAGAGATTGAGCTCATAATCAGCGGCAAAATCAGACTCTGCGCTTGGAAAAACCGAACAAGTGACTGCAAAGTAGCATAACCAAAAAGCGCGGGTATGAGCCAAGTTGCAAACCTTCCAGCTTCTTGAGCAACCAGAGGATCTTGTCCAATGGCAGAGAGTATATCACCCATGTAAGTCCATAGCACAGACAAAGGAATACACACAAGAAACAAAGAGAAGATCCCAGTGTAGGTATGAACTCCAAGCTTTTCGAATTGTTTAGCTCCATGTGCTTGACCACATAAAGTCTCCAACGCACTAGCCAATCCAAACTGTATATGATTAGCACCACAAAATCACAATTCAGAATCTTAAAGCTAATCATACAACTAAGCAAAAGAAAGAGATAAAAAAAAAAAAGAAGAAACATACAACGAGACTAAAACCGGTGACGCTGCAGAAAGAAACGGCAATAGCGGTGCTCGAGAGATAAAGCTTACCGAGATGACCAACCATCATTATCGATATCACCTGAAGAAAATACGTAGACGAGTTCACCGCAACCATAGGACCAGCGATGTAACCAAGCTTCTTCATCTCCCGCAAAAACCTATCTTTCTGGTTTACTTCTTCTCCATGGTTTACCACGAGCAAGCCTTTCTCCATCGAATCCAGTCCTCTTCTTCCTTCTCTGTGTCTTCGTTTGAGATCTTGAGATTTGATTCAGAGTCTTTACTGAGATTCTTTGTACTACTTTTTTTTTCTTTACGTATATATATATATATTTTTTTTTTTTTTCTGGAATTTAGCGGTGTCGTATTTGGATTCTACACCTCCATATACACAGATAAATAAGTCGTCCTCTCTCAATCAGCCGCCACATTTAAAAATCCTCTGGATCTGGTGATATCTGATTTATATAGCAAATTAAAGGAAAAAGTTTCCACTGGAATTCCCAAAGTATGAAAATATCAAGTTCCTTATAATAAGTCAAGCGACTCGTAAAAATTATAATTAATTTTCAACGTTGATTTTTCTTTGAAGATATGGTTGTTTCTTTCTCTACAAGGCATCCTATCAATTTTAAAATGTTCCCATCTATATCCACTCGTACCCTCACTCTATTTTCTTTTTATAATTTTATGGCACTCTGGCCAACTGGCACTACGTACTTTTTGTGTTTCTACAATTCACGTAACGACGACGTTTTATCCAGATGGGTGCCGTTTGTGTCACTCACACGTAAACACTTTCAGTTTCTCATAAATAATCGAAAACAACAACACCGAAATAAAATTCGTACTGAATACAACACCAACTTTAAATCGTTCATTCACTTTTATCTTAATCTTCAAACTCCTCACCTATCATCACTCTTTCTCTCGCCTTTCTCGCCTGTATGATTCATACATTATCAATCGACATCACTTTCATTTTCGCATAATCCACTAGTCATCATATATTTAGAGGACATCACTTTCACTTTAGATTATACTAACCTGTTGTTCCCAGTTGGTGAGGCTGACGATGAGACCGAGCAAAACTGCTTGTACAAAGGATCCAACTGTGATCCCAATCCAAAGTCCTCTTCCTTCCATTTTAAACCCAAAAGCTAATATGATCGCAGTTGGTATGCCGCAGAGATAGTAGGCTGCTAGGTTTACATATGCCCCTATGTCTTGCCTCCCTGATCCTCTAGCTACACCTGTTTCAGTTCCGTACCGATAACACATTACAGTATATATATATATATATATATGATCGTTAACTTCACATTCATGACTTTGACATTATAGAAGAAGAGATTCTAACCAGAGAGAACTGTGTGAAGGGCATCGAATATGACTAATAAAGCAACCAGCGGAGCCATTGATCTTACATAATCCACAACTTCGGCTTCGGAGCTGAATAGGTATCCAAATACGTTTCTTGCTCCAAAAACTGATGCACTCACCATGATTGATTCTACACATGTAATGACCATTACTGTGTACACAGCTATTCGAGCTTGTTTCGGGTTTCCAGCTCCTAACTCGTTTGCAACTCTTGTACTACAACAACCACAAGAGAGAGAAGTTTTTTGAGTTTTAGATTTAGAATTTTAGATAGAAAAAAAGGGAAAAAAGAACCTTGCAGCTGCGCCGAGACTCTCAGGTATATGGTACGCAAAGGAGATTGTCGAGAGACTGTAAAGAAGGAAGAGAGCCACTAAGTTGTATGATAATATTGATTACATTCCAAAACGAACTCTTTAGAAGATATGAAGAAGGAAAAAAAACATACCACACTGAGAGAACAGAGGTTTCTAGCTTTGAATTTGGTAAAACCCCGGAGAGCATGATCAAAAACTCGAATGACCACCACTCCAGGCTAGTTCAACACCAAAGATTAAACTTTCAAGTAGAACCCTGGGACCAAACCAACCAAAAGAGACAAGAAGAGTTCATACCAAATCATAGACGCAGATGGGATTCCGAGCCAGAAAAACTCTTTCATTCCTTTAATCACACTCATGGAGATAGTTGCACGGCTCTTGCTACAGCTGGAAGAAAACGTCATGTAAAATGCAAGGACAGTCACGTTTAGCCAGTAAGAAACGCCGATCTCAATAGCTGCACCTAGGCTCCCAAGACCAAACTTATAGACCAAGCTCCAGCAGAGAACAACGTGGCAACAGAGAGCAGAGATTGAGCTCATAATCAGAGGCAAAATCAGACTCTGTGCTTGGAAAAACTGTACTAGCGGCTGCAGCGTGGCGTAAGCAAAGAGCGCAGGTATGAGCCAAGTTGCAAACCTTCCAGCTTCTTGAGAAACCAGAGGATCTTGTCCAATGAGAGAAAGTATATCACCCATGTAACTCCAGAGAACAGACAGAGGAATACACACGATATACAAGGAGAGAATCGTTGTGTAAGTATGTACTCCAAGTTTCTCAAATTGTTCAGCTCCATTAGCTTGACCACATAAAGTCTCCAATGCACTAGCCAGTCCAAACTGTAAGTAATCACCACAAAACCACAATCAAGAAAGGAAAAAAAATATATATAGCAACACGTTTTTAAATCTGGATGACAAGTTGCAGTCAGTTGTTTTGTGGCTGCAACTTCCAAATGGATAGACTTACGACAAGGCTGAAACCGGTGGCGCTACAGAAAGAAACGGCAATGGCAGTGCTAGAAAGGAAAAGCTCACCGAGATGACCAACCATCACTATAGATATCACTTGAAGAAAATCCATAGACAAATTTACAGCAACCATTGGACCAGCAATGTAACCAAGCCTCTTCATCTCCCGGACAAAACCATCTTTCTCGCGGACTTCTTCTTCTTCTCCGTCACTCTTTACAAGCAAACCCTTGTCTGCAGACTCCATTCCTCTTCTTCTTTCACTGAGGAGTTTTAACCTCTTCTGTGAAACTTCCCTATATATGTTTATCTTTCGTGGTACAGTGATCCACATTCTTAATCATACACGTCATTTGAGAGACAAAACCATTCTTGAAAGCGTCATTTGAGAGACAAAACCATTCTTGAAAGTTCCTTTAAGTAATTAATTTCAATGTTGATTGTATTTGAACATATAGCTGCTTCTTCCTGTTCAAGGCATTACATAAACAAATCCTTTTTGTTTATCATGTTCTGTTGTGAAAACTAACCAAATTTATTTTCAAACCCAATTTATATTTCTTTAGCCGCAAAGAAAATTTGTTTTGCCCTTTTAATTAAACCCACACTTCTTGTTTCCTCAGTACTCGTTTTTTTTCTCTCGATTTTTCCTGTTGGCTCTTTTAAAACTTTTTATAAGGGAAGGAAGAAGAAGAAGCAAAGATCATGTCATGTGTATGGAAAGAAAATAGAGGCGAAAACTCATGTGCACGTACATGTGAACATTCAATATCCTCATTACTCTACTCGAAAACAACAACACCAGAAATCGTACAAAGAAAATTAAAACACACAACATTTAATGGAGAAGATGGTGATGGAACTCTTGATTAGTTTAGCTGATGATCTCTTCATGTTCTTCACTATCTTTCTCTTCAAAGTCATCACCCATAACTCTTTCTCTTGCCTTTCTCGCCTGCCACATATATATCAATAAATATCACTTTCCCAAACCTACTAAAGTTAATTCAATTGACCATAAGAATAACATGTTCAAAGGACGACATCACTTTCACTTTCCTAACCTGTTGTTTCCAGTTGGTGAGGATGACGATAAGACCGAGCAAAACAGCTTGAACAAAGGACCCAACTGTGATCCCAATCCAGAGCCCTCTTCCTCTCATTTTAAACCCAAAGGCTAATACAATAGCTGTTGGTATACCAAAGAGATAGTACGCAGCTAGGTTTACATAAGCCCCAATATCTTGCCTCCCTGATCCTCTAGCCACACCTGCAGTTTCATTCCCCTTAATGAACACATTGTTAATCATGTAATTTTTCTCTTAGTGACTTGCACATTATAGATGGAAACTCTAACCTGAAAGGACTGCGTGTAGGGCATCAAATATGACAGACAAAGAAACCAGTGGAGCCATTGATCTTACGTAATCCACAACTTCTGTTTCAGAGCTGAATAGGTAACCAAATACGTTTCTTGCGGCAAAAACTATTGCACCCACCATTATTGATTCTACACCTGCTATAACCATCACTGTGTAAACCGCCATTCGAGCTTGTTTCGGGTTTCCAGCTCCTAACTCATTTGCAACTCTTGTGCTGCAGCCAACAACAACAGAGAGGGGTTTTAGGTTTCAGATAGATATCTCCCATTTTGCAAATTTGAGGAATTCAGAAAGAAATAACCTTGCTGCTGCACCAAGACTCTCTGGTATTTGGTACAAGGAGGAGATTGTTGATAGACTGTTAAAGTAAAGAACAAAAAAAACTGAGTTGTATGATAATAATCCATTCCAAAACTAAGTCTTAAGTTTTTTTTTAAAATCATACCAGACTGAGAGAACAGAGGTTTCTAGCTTCGGATTTGGTAAAAGACCAGAAAGTATGACTAAGAACTCAAATGACCACCACTCGAGGCTAGTTCAACACCAAAGATTCAACTGTCAAGAACTCTGTGACCAAACAAAAAGAGGCAACAACTCTGAGACTAAATCAAAAGAGTTATGAAGAGAAGTTTATATTACCAAATCATAGAGGCAGATGGGATTCCAAACCGGAAAAACTCTCCCATTCCTTCAAACAAAGTCATGGAGATGGGTGCACGGCTCTTGCTACAGCTGGAAGAAAACATCATATACAATGTAAGAACAATCACATTTAACCAGTAAGAAACGCCGATCGAAATAGCTGCACCGAGGCTCCCAAGCCCAAATTTAAAGACCAAGCTCCAGCAGAGAACAACATGGACACAGAGAGCAGAGATTGAGCTCATAATCAGAGGCAAAATGAGACTCTGCGCTTGGAAAAACCGAACAAGTGGCTGCAAAGTAGCATAACCAAAGAGGGCGGGTATGAGCCAAGTTGCAAACTTTCCAGCTTCTTGAGCAACCAGAGGATCTTGTCCAATAGATGAGAGTATATCACCCATGTAACTCCAGAGCACAGACAAAGGAATAGAAACAAGAAACAAAGAGACAATCCCAGTGTAAGTATGAACTCCAAGCTTTTCGAATTGTTTAGCTCCATGTGCTTGACCACATAAAGTCTCCAACGCACTAGCCAATCCAAACTGTATATGATCACCACCACAAAATCAGAATTCACAATCTTAAAGCTAATCCTATAACTAATCAAAAGAAACAGATCAAGAAAGAGACATACGACGAGGCTGAAACCTGTGACGCTGCAGAAAGAAATGGCAATGGCGGTGCTAGAGAGGAAAAGCTCACCGAGATGACCAACCATCATAGTGGATATCACAAGAAGAACGTACATAGACGAGTTCACCGCAACCATAGGACCGGCGATGTAACCAAGCTTCTTCATCTCCCGCAAAAAACCATCTTTCTTGTTTACTTCTTCTCCATGGCTCACCACGAGCAAGCCCTTCTCCACCGAATCCATTCCTCTTCTTCCTTCTCTGCGCCTTCGCTGAGATCTTGAGATTTGATTCAGAGTTTTAACACCTATTTATTCTTTATACCAATATTTTTTTGTTTTTTGTTTTTTTGTCCATCTCTGGAATTTAGCGGCGTGTCGTATCTTGATTCTACACCCCCAGAGATACAGATACATGCGTCGTCCTCTCTCATTTAGCCGCCATAAATTTTTGTTTCTCTGGATCCCAAATCCCAATGGCAGGCACATAATTAATCTATAGCAAATTACAGAAAAATAGTTTTAAAATAAAAGTTACTCAAAGTATACAATGTTTTTGTGAAATATGAAAATCTTAATTTCTTTAATTAGTCAAGCAGGCTGTAAAAATGAATTAGTTTTCAATGTTGAAATTTATTTGGTTGTTTCTTTCTCTACAAGGCATTATATCAATTGGAAAAAGTTGCCATTTATATCATATGTGACGTTACGAACGCACTCGTGCCTCCTCACTCTATTTTATATTTGGAATTTAGCGTCGTGTCGTATCAATATTCTTTTACTCCCAGAAAAAAAAAAAACTTTTATTTTCCTCCAAACAAAAAAAGAAGATGGAAATTTATCTAAAGTTCCTTGTTAAGCATAATACAATATTTATAATCTGTTATGGGAATGGAGCGAACGTCCATATTACTCTGATTATATTTGATTCCATTCAGTTCGTTGGTCAAAGACTTAGGGGGGTGTATTCAAATCATGATTTGGAAGGATTTTGTGGAATTTATAATATTTGAGATTCTAGGAGATTTAAGTGAGTTTTGTAAGGTATTATGGTGGATTTGTTATTGTTTCCTATTTTAAAAAAATGAAATTAGCTTGAGATTTGATGACATTTGGTGAGATTTTAAAAAGAATTTTGGGTGATTTTAAGAGATTATCACATGTTAAAAAAACAAAAGAAGGATATATGATGAACATGTTTAACGTCAAGAACAGATTCAAAACTAGTGATGATTGGGCTTTTGACATATTCTCAGGATAAACAGATCAGAGAGACAATTAAAAAACCAACAAACTCAAATGATACATGTGTGCTATAGAGAGTTGAAACAGACCCTCCATTGTCGCTTGTGACCAATGTGGTGAAGAATGGACTGAAGCAGATTATGCATATATTTGTGTGAGAGGAGATAAAATAAGCAGATTATGACTAGCCTCCCGTTTATTACAGATAGTGAAACACAATCACAACAACATGAGAGACCATGAAAATTTTACCAAAACAAAAACGTTGTGCAATCACGAAACCTTCCACACATCATTATTCATATCAAATCCAGAAAAAGCTTTATTTCACCAAGTTAAAATAATTCAAATCGATCCAAACCGTCTAACACAAAAGATTCAATTGAAAAATCCAAAAATAATATAAAGATAAGTACTCATATTGCATCATGATTCCATATTCATAGCATCTGTCCACATATGTGTAGCTATTGATGCTCTCCAATTATTAGCAAGAACTCTTTGTTGATCTTGAGTACCTTGAAGCTCTTCATTTGCATTATTTTCAGCATCATCTCTTTCGTCAACACCGCTTTCTTCAACATCGTTTTCTTCTGGAAGAAACACATCCGAACGACATTCTTTACGAAGATAGTTATGTAAAACTACGCATGCAAGTACTAACTCCGCTTGCGTTTTATACGGAAAGGGTGGTGCATATTTGAAGATGAGAAATCTTGACTTGAAGATGCCGAAAATCCTCTCTATCACATTTCGTAAACTAGAATGACGATGATTGAATAACTCATTTTGATTTACGGGATCTTTTCCTTGTCCCCTAAAGTCTTGGAGATGATAGCGAGTACTTCGAAATGGAGCTAAAAAACTGCGACGATTGGCGAATCCACAATCAACTAAATAAAATTTTCCTGAAATTTCATAAAGCACACAAGTGATTAGATGAAATTGAATAACAAATTTTTTTTAATCATAATATAAATGACATACCTTCAGGAACTTTTAATTGGTTAGTGTTTCGTGTTAAAGCATCATGTAATACTTTTGAGTCATGAGCTGAACCTTCCCATCCACTAAGAACATATATAAATTCTAAATCAAAATTACATGCGGCCAAAACATTTTGCGATAATTGTCCTTTTCGGTTACGATAACTAGCTGTGTCTTTTCCAGCTACCATTGCAAGGATATGTGTTCCATCAATAGCACCCACACAATCCTTCAAAAAAATATGTATATATATTTTAAATATTTTGGAGTTACTTAAAAAAAAAGAGTAGAAGAAATCACATACCTTAAAGTAAGGATAAAACCGTGTACTGTCTTTTATTTTTGCGGGAACTGCAAGCCCGGGTTTCGCCATGTAGCTTGGAGCAAGTGCGTTTAACGTCTTAAGAATGGTGTTGAAGCTCTTGCTTATTGAGAATCTTGACCTCTCGAATCTACCTTCAGCATGTATATACCTCGAATTTTGACCAACAATGAACAAAAACGTTGCAAGCATTTCTTCAACCGAAACATTTCTTGTGTCTCTTAAACCCATCTTCACTCTAAATATATTGCATAGCTTTAGGAATGGTTCTGGATACATACGATATAGCCGTCGGAATTGTTCATGATCTTTAACTAACGCATATTGTATGTATTCATGACCAAGTCTTGTAGTTGGCTTTCTAATTTGGCGGTGTATTTGCGGATGAAAATAACGGACCTTCGCCATGATAAATAAAACCAGTAACATTATATCAACATCTGATCTGAAACTGTTCATTCTTTTTCTTTTTTTTTTAGCTTGTATCACTTCACTTTCTTGTACAATACGATCCATCATTAAAACTCTACACAACAACAAAATTATAACACCACAACAAAATAAAAACGTCAGAACAAAACAGAAAACGTTGACAAAAGAAGCTGAAATTGACAAACGTTGGATAAAAACATCCTCTAAACGCATGAAAGTGACAAAAGAAGCTGAAACATAATTTGGAGATTAGCAAAAGTAAATTAAGAGAAAAACTCACCTTGACTTGAAAAGAAATACAACCTTATGTATAGTGTTTGTGTAAGCTGCTAAAAAAAATGAGTATATATATACCTTACAGCTAACCCTAATTAAGAAAAAAGATATCAAGCCCATAAGTTTTTTAGAACCTCGTAGCTATTGTAAATTATTTTGAGAATCTCGTAGGGTTTAGTTCGTAACCAACATCTACAGCAAATATATATATATATATATTTTATGGTTTAAATATATATTTATATATGTATGTATATATGTATATAAATATGTGTTTTTAAACATAAAGAAAAAATGAATTGAAAATATAGTTAAAATAAAATGAA